GAGAGAGAGAGAGAGAGAGAGGCTGCAGTGACACCAGCCAAATGTTCCCCAGTTACATAGGAGCACAAGTTTCCAGTCACATGACACACGGCCACTAGCAAATCATTTTATTGGCCAGCAGTGTAACTGTGGAACATTTTCCCCTTGCTGGGAGGCTTCTTTTTATTTTTCTTTCTGGTGGCATTTTCATATATTTCTTAGCAGTATGGCATATGTGTATGATCCTACCTCAATAGTTTTTCAAAGCAAATTCACTAGGGAAGGCAGCTGCCATTACTGCCTCATGGCTGACCCTCTCTCTCTCTCTCTCTCTCTCTCTCTCTCTCCCTCTCTCTCTCTCTCTCTAATTTTACTGCAGCCTGAGTATGGATGCCTTGGTAAACTTCTGTCAACAGGTTTTAAACACAAGCACTCCACCTACTGTCTGGCAAAGCAGCACAGCGCTGGTGGGGGGTGCCAGGTCCATTGAATGCAATGCACTGCTTCCAGAGGCACCTGTGCAACAGAGGGAATTCTATCCATCAAGAAACACTAAGCACTACCCAACATTTCGATGTACCATTTAAAAAAAATAAAAAATATATTAAAGTTGAGGGGCTTCAGTACTCCATAAAACAAAAAAGGAAATTAATAGGTACCATAGTATCGCCGGCCATAACGATTTAAATGGAAGGAAATGAACCAGTAACGTTAAAACACATTGGGACACTAATCTAGGTATATATATCATGTGAGCACATAGCACAACAAGAAAGGGCTGAAAAGTGTCATTGCCAAAGGGGAACATTTTGCATGACCAGAGAGAGAGAGTGTGTGTGTGTGTGACACAAAAAAAGAGCAATTAAAGTTAAGCAAAAAGCAGCTGTGACAATAAAGCACAACAAAGACATCACATCCGGTGAAGCAGATTTTGGCCTGTGAAAGTTTCTGCCTTGAAACATTTATTAATTTTGAAGATAGTTCTGCATTCTTTGTTGCTTTGGCTACTGCAGTTAATTGTATGAAAAGCAGCACCATTTCCATCTCTTTATAATCCCTAGACAATGGTAACTAGTACAATCCAAGCTGTAGGTGTTATAAAAAAAAGTTAAAAACTAAAGACCTTCCCTCCTTGCAACTTAATTTGAAAATCATATCCTAAGAAGAATGGGAGTGGAAAAGCAGTGTTTCATTTCTAGAATTTTCTTTCTTCCATGCTTTGCCACTCTGAGCATACTCTTCTTGTTTCTAAACTGTAAACCCTAAGCCTAGCTTCAACTGGCCCACCTCTTGTTTTCAAAGGCCAGAGAAATACATTAGATGTGCTGTATGAATATGCACAACAGCTAGTCAGATGTAGTGGACGTAGTGTGGGACTAGAACTCAGGAAACCTGGGTACAAATCCTTGTTCAGTCATGGCAGCCCACTAAGGGCAGTAGCCTGTTTCCCTGAAAATAAGACCTAACCTGAAAATAAAGCCCTAGTTTGATTTTTCAGGATGCTTGTAATATAAGCCCTACCCCAAAAATAAGCCCTAAAGTGAAGCCCGCCTTCCACCATTGTGCAGCAACCAGAGGAAAATGGCATGATTGTATTTGAATAGACGTAAGGAAAATGGCATGATTGTATTTGAATAGACATAATTGTACATGAAAAAATACAGCATTCCCCTGAAAATAAGCCCTAATGCATTTTTGGAGCAAAAATTAATATAAGACCCTGTCTTATTTTCGGGGGAACATGATAATTGTAAACCACTCCTCAAACATCTCACATATCTCACAGGCCCAATTAAGATCACCACAAGTACAAAGTAATCTGATGGTGCATAACAATAACAACAAAACATGCATAAATTAACTGATATTCGATACATGACATGGGCAAATTAACAGGCCATATACCTTTTTGTCCAGGAAGACCTGGTAATCCATTTTCTCCTGGAAGGCCTAGATTTCCTCTTAAACCTGGAAAGCCAGGCGATCCTTGTGTTCCAGGAGGTCCTGGCATGCCTTTCATTCCAGATGGACCTGATGCACCCATGTCTCCTGGTGGACCTTTGATGCCTGGTACACCTGAGTGAAAATGCCCCACAGTAATATTCAAATATCTCAGCAGCCCATACCAATAATTTTATATATTATAAGGCCTTCCCTTTAATTTCTTATACTCAGACACTAAGGTATGGCAGGACTGGGGGAAGAAAACAGGAAAATCCATAAGGCTTGTACTATAAAGTGAAATTATTTCTCTCTATATATGCATGTGCTCATCTTCAAAACATTACTTAATGTGCTAAGGCATTTTGGGTGTGTCAGAGACGCAGATAGCAATGCCATCAGAAGGTCAGACTCCACCATGAGTCTGGATATCTGGAATGGTCACAACTGAAATGCCATACTAAGTTACATCCACCATCATCAAGATTAACAGTCATGTCAGCAGAAGATAATGGATAGTTTCAATGGTGCTGAAGGTGGAAAAACTCCTGTAGGGCAGCTACCGCGCAGCAGCAGACGTTCAAGGTAACACTGGCAAAGGGTTTTTTAATGACAATATCAGTGACACTCAAGCTAATGTTTGTTACTATTTTGCTAAACAAGATAACAGTAAACCATTCCTGAATATTTCTTACCCTGAAAACCTTAGGATGAATCCATCTAAAATGAAACAAGAGATAGTGCTAGTAGATGAAAGTCCTACTTTGGAAGGCACTCAACCAGTTACTGGAGGAAAGCAAAGGAGAATTGTGAATAGTGCTGTCACTAATGGTGCACTAAATTAAAGCCAGAATGATATCTAGTGGCTGATGTGCATGAAGGTGAAAGGAAAGTCTCATGCTTCATGACACATACAATTGGAGCATGAAACATGAGAAGTATGAAACAATAAAAGAAAATAAAAGAACCATAAAAGAAACGAAAGGTTTAAACAGTTCAGTGCTTAATGTGAGTGAACTAAAGTGGACTGGTATGCAACATTTTCCGTCACACAACTATGAAATATTTTAGTCTAGAATTAAAAAAATCAGAACAAATGTAGCTCTAATACTGTAGCAAGAAGCAACATAGGTAGTTAGGTGCTATAATCCAAGGTCTGGCTGAATAATGCCAACCAGATATCTTGGGAAACCCTATCAACAAAACCCTCATTCAAGTCTATGCTTCAACTACAAATGCTGGAGGAGATGAAATTGAAAGCTTTTATGTAAGCACCAAAGAGAATACTGATCACACACCAAGATGCCCTGATAAACATAGGTGTATGAAATGCAGAAGAAAGCAAAATGAAATGTTGTTAGAGAATTTGGTGTAGGAGGAGTTAGAAACAAATAGCAGAATGACTCATAGAATTCTGAGATGCCAACAATTTGTTTATTGCAAATCCATGCTTCAGGGAACTAAACAGATAATAATACATGTGGACATCATCATAAGGCCAAAACAGAAATCAAATAGACTGTGTTATTTGAAGTAGCAGGTGGAGAAAATATATTCAATCTATCAAAACAAGACCAGGGCAATTGACCACATATTGTTAAAATTCAAAAAATCAGAATAAAGTGAAAGAATATAAACCATAGTGCCAAAATAAGATTTCAAATGAATTTACAGTCCATATAAAGAACAGATTTGCATTATTAATTCAACTGACTGTGAGCCTAAAACACTTTAAGTTGAAATCAGAGATATTATTAGGGAAGTATGCAAAAAAACAATTCCTGTAATCAAAAAGAAAAGAAAAATCTAGATGGATGATTTAGAAAGCTATTTTAATTGTTAAGGTCAGATGGGATGCAAAATAAAAGACAGAAATAGGTTCAGGATTCTAAATGCAACCTTTCAGCACCTGTCATGTAAAGTCAAAGAGAGCTAATAATCAGAACAAACAAATAAAAGAGAACAACAAAAGATATCTCTTCTATGAAATCCAAGAAAACAAATGCTGAAAGAACAATAGGGAAACATAATGTCTGATCAGGATAAAATAAAATAAAGATAGAAACAATATGCTGAAGAGTTATACAGAGAAGATAAAAGAATAACAGATTCCTTTGAAGATAAATCTGTTGAAGAACTTAGTTACAGTAAATGAAGTGAAAGCTTCTTTGAAAGCACATGGAAAAAAATAACCACCAGAGATAGATGGAATATTGACAGAAGTACTGCAAGCTGCCTAAACCCTAACAAGAATATGCCAACAAATACAGAAAACAAAACAATGGCCCACAGACTTGTATTGGGACAAGAGGCTACTGATAGAATATAGATAAACAAAATAGGCTGCATAGGTATCAGACAAGGATTTGTTTGTCTGTTCAGTCTGTACATAAAACATAGCATACAAAAAGCAGAATTAGATTCAGATGAAGGAGATGTGAAAACTGGTGGAAGAAACATCAATAAATTAAGATATCTAGATGATACCATATTACAAATCAATCTTGAATGATTTCATGGAAGCAAATATGATGAAACCGAGCCTGTCATGAAAGGACAGAGCTAGCTGAAAAAGACAATAATGCTAGGAAAAGGTGGAAGGGAAAAAGAAAAAGACCAAATAGGAGGTAGATTGAATCCACAGTGGAAGCTACAGGCTTGAATTTACAAGAGCTGTTGAGGACAAGACATTTTGGAGATATATATATTAATGAAAGTGAATGCTTCAGTTAGGCAGCAAAATATCTTGAACTTACCCTGTTAACAAGAGATTTCTTCTTAGCATGCCTTTGAAAAGATGCCCCTTAACTGCTTTTAAATATAGTTGTGGCATCCGAATGCTCTTTCCAAGTGGACTGAGCCTGTAATCATGTTGTGCTTACCTGCAGAGCCTGGTGGTCCAGAAGAGCCAGGAGACCCTGGTAGACCCTGTAAACCATTGTCACAAGGTGGCCCAGGTGAGCCTGGATATCCCGTGGCTCCCATGTCACCTTTTCTTCCTCTAAAGCCTTTTGCTCCTGGAAACCCTGGTGTGCCTGGCTGTCCTGCAAGGAAATTGTAGCTTAATTTTCGCTTTGTTTAAAGGTGTAAAACAGAAGCAATCATAATGGCACTTTACAGGAGATTTGTGATAGCCAGAAGGTTTCTATGCTCCCTCCCCAATAATTTTGATCAAAGAAGTGGACACTGCAAGATCTCATCAGCATCACTATAACATAATGGCCATTGTGTTGTGAAATAAATGTCTAGGGGTGCCAGGTCAGCACTTTACCATTCCCTTGGATTTTGGTACCAAAACTTGAGATTAAAGGATTGGGCCCCTGCATAACAACTGTGTGAGAATGATTCAGGCAGTCATTGTGAATTTCCCACACCAGGTTCTAAATAAATATTGTATGTGTGCTTACTATGAGTGCCATATACAGGAAGGCCTGAATTTCACTAGTGATTTACATTTGCGTAAGAGAAATTGTATAAGTCTTGTTGGCAAATTGCTGCTCATTAATGATGTGTCAGTTACATTCCTGAATGCACAATTTCCTTTACACAACTGTCCACAGGATTCTGGCCAAAGTCAGTAAGGCCTGGTGCAAGTTTGGACTGCAGCAATGGGCAGTCAAAGCCACCACACAGAATAAAACAGTCTCATCCTCCACAGCTGCATACCCTCAGATTTGGCTCCCTGCCTGGAAACTCAAGGAAGCACATGTTACTTCACAGTAAGGCTATGCCAACGGAAACTTTATTCCTTGTTAAGAGAAAGATTTAAAGGATGTTCTCCTCTAATTTGCTGAATAACCAAGGATATAGAATAGAGATGGAGGTGTTCATATTTCGTTACTACTCTTCGACCTGGCAGAGAGGCTCATCATCCTGCCTTTTGCCAGGAGTGGCTAATCCACCGCGAGCTCCGGAGCAATAGGGAGTGTGGAGCCTTCGGCAGCAGTGGAATGTTGAGTGGTTGGTCTGGCCCCAGGAGGCTGGACCCTCGTTATCTGCACCTGTGGGGATATATTCGTATTCATATACAAATACGAAAATCCCCATCTCTGATATAGAAGTTTCAGGTAGCTCAGTTGTTTAGGTATCTGGGTGTGGAGCCAGAGGTTGGTGCTTCAATTTCCCACTGTGCTTTCTTGACAGGGGCTGGACTCGATCCATAAGGTCCCTCCCAGGCTGCATTTCTAAGATGATGATGATGATGATTCACTCTTGGTTTGCATTTCTAAGATGATGATGATGATTCACTCTCCTCTGATTTCTTTACACACTGGCTTCAGTTTGGCTTGGTCCTACAGTTTGTACTGTATGTATCCTTCCACCCCCACCCCAGAAATTCTTGTTGGTTTATGCCAATGCTAGAAGCAAACTGAGGCATAACACAAAATGTCACTTTCAATGAATCTGTGATTTTAGGAGAGTGGATTACATGACATTTGAAATGAAATGTAGTTTCAAGCTAGATTGATAGTGAAAGTGAAAGTCGTTCACCTCTTCAGTCTTAGTATTACCACTTAACCTGATATTACATGTATTTTGTCAGGTGGACGTTGAAAATACACTGAATATTTGCCTGATTCTCCAGAGCTGGGGAAACATGATCAAATCATAACTGAAGACAGAATTACTGGAGGCCCATTTAAATCCACATAACCAAGCAGTATTTTACTGGCAATCATGTGAAGATGCCACAGAGAACATATAGAATAGAGCATGAACTGCCTCCCTACACCTTCAGAACCCCCAGTTCTTAGTTCACATTGTTCTTAGGCTTGTCATTACTGAATTGTTATCCACTGTTTTAGTCATATAATGCTTTTCAAGTGCTTTTCTTAAACTACTGTCTTGTCCAATATGTATGACTAGACGAGTGACTAATACAGTATCTTATTAAAAAACAATAAAGAAACAGCATTGGCAGTCCTGCAAGATGATCTCCTAAGGGAGGTGATGGGGGAGTGTAACCCTGTTGGGTTATCCTGGATCTTTCTGGGACCTTTGAAAGCATCAACCACTGTATCCTTCTGGAAAGGCTATCAAGCTTATGGACCGGGGGCTCTGCTCTTTGTTGGTTCTGGTCTTTCCTTGATGGCTGATCCCAGATGGTACAGTTTGCGGATGTTGTCCCTTAGGACCATTGCTATGGGGTACCACCGGGGTCAATCATCTCGCCAATGCTCCTTAACATCTTAATGAAGCCATAGGGATAAGTCATGCAGAAATTTGAAGTTTGCTGTCACCAGTACACTGATGACATATAGCTCTATTTCCCCTTCACTTCATCTGCAAGGGAATCTGTACAGGTCTTTGAGTGCTGTCTAGAGCTGATAATGGACTGGACAAGGGCTAATAAACTGAAACTGAATTCAGATAAGGTGGAATCCTACTCATAGTCAGACTGCTTTGAGGGAAATCTACCTTCCCTTGATAAGGTTACACTGCCCCTGAAGGAAAGGTTCCACAGCTTGGGGGTACTCATGGACCCAGCATTTCCTATGGAGGCTCAAATGTTGTCTGTGGCCAGGAGTGCCTTCTACCAATTTCAGTTGATTGCCTTGTTGTGCCCCTATCTGGATATGAAATGCCTAATAACAGTGGTTCACATTTTGGTAATCTCAAAAATAGACTGCTGCAATGCTATCTATGCAGGGCTGCCCCTGAAACCAGAACTAGATGATTCAGAGTAACTTATGGCCACTCAATTATTATTCAAATACAAGAGTAGGTGATACCCCTTATTAAACCACTTAAAAATAAAACAAATAGCAAGGTTTCGTGGATTAAAGCTATTTCCTTGGGCTCTAAGCATGCTCCCTTCATGGACGGTGCAGAAAATTATTGTTGTTTCAACTTATATATTGCCCCATAGTGCTAAAGCACTCTGGGCAGTTGACAACATAATTATCCAAAGAACACTTTGCCCCTTAGTGAGCTGGTTACTCATTTTACCTACCTCAGAAGGATGGAAGGCTGAATCAACCCTGAATTAATGTCAGCTACCTGAACCTGTTGGGACTGAACGCAGGTCATAAGCAGAGGTTTGAATGCAGTACTGCCGTTTAACCACTGTGTCATGGAGTTGGGACTGAACTCAGGTCATAAGCAGAGGTTTTGGATGCAGTACTGCCATTTAACCACTGTGTCATGGGGCTCACTATTATTATTATAGATACAAGATAAACATACAAAACTGTGCTTCATACCTTGAAGCCCAGGAAAACCTGGATCACCTCTTTGGCCTGGGGAACCTGGAAATCCTGGAAGACCTCTGTTGCCTGCAACTCCTGGAGGACCATAACTGATGTCACCTGGAATACCTTTGGGACCATCAAGCCCAGGGGGGCCTGGCAATCCTGAAGCACCATCCAGGCTGGAACCAATTTCACCTTTTTCACCTGGATCACCAGTCTCACCCCTTAAACCTAAGAATAATGAAATCTAATTAACTTGGAATCACTTTTTTAAACTGGCTCTATTTGAACTACTTCTGATGTAGTAAGTGAAACAAAAACATAAAATGATCTCGCCTGTATCATACATCCTTCTTCAACAGCCTGTTTTCATAGTGGCCAGCTACATACATGTAAGAAGTGCATATTAGGTCATTAAGGCAATCACTGCTCTATCCTGTAGCCATCTGATTTTAAATAAAGATTTAAAATAAAGATTCCGCAGTCCAGTCATTTATTTCCCTCCCCATCCCCCACCCTTATACAGCCCCTAGAAACAATATTATGCATTACCACCCGCCACCCCTGTACAGCCCCTAGAAACAATATTATGCATTACCATCCCCCACCCTTATACAGCCCCTAGAAACAATATTATGCATAGAACTTGGAAATATTACTTTTTAAGACTGTAACTCCCAGAATCCTCAGTCAGCATTGCCTTTGGCAGTTTTAGAGAATTGTAGACAAAAAAAGGGCAATATTTCCAAGTTCTGGTTATGAATGATCATACAGTGTCATTCCAAGGGGCACTTCTAGATCCTCTTTGAAAGGGTGCAGAAAAAAACCCATGCTTCCTAACTTTTGGAAAAGAGTTTTACAAAGAGTTAAACATTATTAAACATTGGCTGAAATCCTGTTGCATAAATTACACCACATAAGGCAACTAACACTATCAGTCTCAATGATGTTTCAGAAACGAAGTATTTCCAATTTCATCCCAGCAGCAGCAAATTTTGGCAATTAAAAACTTTCCCATATCATATCACAGCCTCCAATGATTTCCTAATAATTGAAGGAAACCATGGAAACCTCCGGAAATATTGTATTTCTGAAAAATTGCTGTGGCTGATGATGTCAACAGTTTTTACTTGGCCTAACTTACAGCAACAAGATTTGGGCCATCAGGGCCAAGAAAGATATTGACAAAATTAATTTTTCCAACCTGCTGAAAAAGACTAACATGAACATCTCTCTGAAAACTAAAGAAAAGGGAATACAACATGTTTAAAATATATAATGCAAAAGGAAAATAGTAACACAGGGTTTCCTGGCCCCAAATTAATTTTTTAAAATATAAGAATTTCTAAGTAACCATCATAGCAATTAAACAACACAAAGAAAACATCCTTCACATGTCGATCTAAAATATCCCTGAACTGTTCACAACCATAAGTCTTTATTTGTTTCTCACTGGTCCCTCAGGGTCTTCTCCACTTCATGGCCACAGTGAAGAGAAGAAAGTTTCCTCAACTTCCAGCCTAAAGATCCCTGAACAAGCCTTATCTGTTGTTACCTGTAAGTCTGCAACAATATCATGTCTGACATCACAACTCAATCTTCTGATAGAATCTCATTCCTGATATTAAGCCAGCCTATAATGTGGAGGAACCAGCTGGCTGCATAGCTCTGTGAGTTAAGTATCTGGCCGCAGAGCCAGAGGTTGGGAGTTTGATTCTCCATTGTATATCCCAGATAAGCCAGCCTCTGTGGCCTTGGGAAACCTGCACAGTCCCAGAGCATCCCCATAAGAAAGGAATGGTAAACCGCTTCTGAATACTCTCTACCTAGAAAAATCTGAAAAGGGTTGCCATAAGTCAGAATTGACTTGACAGCAACAATTATTATTATATAACTTGAAGGAGATTGCGTTTTTTTGTTTATGGTGACACATACTGTAAAGGCATGACTAAGTCTACTGCCACAATAGATTCATCAAGCTTACATGCATACAAACACTATATTACTATTTGGACTGCATGTGGTAAAACCAGGAAAATTGTTTAATTCAGTTTCAAATACAAATATTGTTTAAGCTCCTTAAATCTAAATATGAGCTCATTCTATGTTTGGGAATTATCAATAGGCTATGTCTGACGACCACAGGCTAGTTAACAGCAGCGTTTGTCCGAAGACAATCTTTCCGTGGTCACATGGCCAGTGTGATTTAGACATGGAACGCTGTTTACCTTCCCACCGAGATGGTACCTATTTATCTACTAGCATTTGCATGCTTTCGAACCGCTAGGTTGGCGGGAGCTGGGACAGGCGACGGGCGCTCACTCCGTCGTGTGGATTTGATCTTACGACTGCTTGGTCTTCTGACACTGCAGCACAGGCTTCTGCGGTTTAGCCCACAGCGCCACCACGCTCATTCTGTTTGGGAATTATCAATAGGCCATGTCTGACGACCACAGGCTAGTTAACAGTGTAATGGTCAGTGAGCATTTTGTGCATTCCTATACTTAACAAATAAAACCCTTTGTCCTTATTTCACTTACCTTCTGGACCTGGAATGCTTGACATTCCTGGTCTGCCTTGTCGGCCTTTGGGGCCATCAAAACCATTGGGACCCGGTTGTCCAGGTTGCCCTCTTAATCCTTTTGCACCTGAACATACAGAGAGAATACAGACCGTGCAAGTCTTAATGCAGAATATATTTAAACCATCTGTGGAACAGATTAAAATATATCTGAGCGTCTTTTGGGGAAAAAAAGGGGTGGTTCAATAAAAACAATTTTAGAGGGCTAATTCACTCCATCCATGTAACTGATACTTACTCCTGCCAGATATCAAAGGATAGCATGGATTTGGAAAAGCATGACAAACACTATCCTAAAGTATTAAACAGAACAATATTCTACATATTCTATGACATTTTTACTTTATACCTAAAAAATTTAATCATTTGGATTATTTCCAAAGAATCTTACTGAGCAGAGCAGAACATGTTGTATGTGCAAGGATTGCTGTTGTGCAAGCAAACAATGGGTTTTCTTCACTGAGATCAATGTTTGCACAATGGCAACACCAGAAGAAGCAACAGAATCCATTATGATGCTGGTGGGACTTTCCAATCATCAGAAATTCAATAGGATATTAGTTTTTTATTTTATAGGACAGAAGATTCTGTGTTCAGCTGGTAGCCGTCTACAGCAAGCATAGGAACACATTTCCTATGCCCTGCAGATTTTTTCAGCTTTAACTCTCATCAACTCAACCATAAAGGTCAATGGTTGTGGATGACAAAAGTTGTAGTCCAACAATATCTGGAGATACTGGCAGACCATAAGCAGCGGTACTTGTTATGGATTTACCAGCTCATCACCACTGCTATCACTTAGTTCAATCAATATAATTTTAACAAGAATTGACCCTACATTTTTAGAAAGATATTACAGTTACAGATGGGCACAATCCACCAGTTTGGTGGTTCATGTTGGCCTGTCCAATGGCTGCACAGCTGTTCTGTGGTTTGGTGCCATGCCCCCTCTGGCAGGAGCCCATTCAGAGGCAGTGCCCTGCCTTCCCGGCCCTACCTCCTCTGGATGCTACCTCTAAGTGGGCACCCACTGGAGAAGGAAGGGTGTTGAACTGCTGAACAGTTATGCAGCCTTTGGACAAACCAGCATGAATTACTGAACTGGTCGTTCGTCTCTAATTACAGCACCTAAGCACAGTTTCCCCCAGATTCCATAAAATGATACTTGGTATTATCCCACTTAAAAACACCCAAGCCAAAATGCTTCTAAGAGTCATCTCAGTCTCTTTATGCTGTTTCCAGAATTATTTCCATAGATGAAGCCAAGTAAGAGGGAACTGCAAGATTTTAAAATTTCTGCCACCTTCATTCTCAGATCACTTCCTCAACAGCATAGAATGTCAAGGAACCATGTAGTATAGCATATTGATCTAAAGCCACTTAATAGTCTCAGCTAGAATAGACCAATTGAATCAACGTTAACATTTGGCTATCATGTATGATGACATTGACCTTTTGTCCTAAAACTCTTAGCCAATGCTTATTTTTCAATCTGTTTTAATTTATGGGGATCTTGTTTATTTCTTTATAATGTAAAAATAGATAGCTGCTTCTACGGGGTAAAAAAACCTTTATTTCACATCATTAACCATACCTGAGACACCTTCAAAACCAGGTGTACCTGGATCCCCAGCATACGCTGTTGCATATTGAGGAGTGGTACCTAGAACCAAAAAAGAGAAACAACTGTGTTTATGTGACTTTCAACTTCCAGCCTCCCAAATAACCGCATAAACAGAATTCTATTAACTGATTGAAAAGTACTTCTAAAACTGCAGCTCCTTCTAACATATCAATAAAAACAATTTATTTGTTACATTTTTTAAAAATAATGAAATCTTAACACTTTACCTTTTTGACCCTTTAGGCCAGGTGGTCCTCTTATACCAGGGATTCCTGGATCTCCTGGAGGACCTGGAATACCTTGTGGGCCTTGAATTCCAAAACCTGGTGGTCCCATGGGCCCCCTTGAACCGGGACGTCCAGAGGCACCAGGAAATCCCTTATCACCTGGAATAGCTTTTCCATCATCACCCTGAAGAATGAATACAAATGCATAATAATAATTTACTAGCTACGTTTAGTCAATTACAAATATATCTAAATAAAATAGTGATAAAATAGAAAAAGGCTGGGTTTTTTTTAATGGAAATTTAACTTTCGACACCTTTCAGCCTGTCACGCCTGATTCTGTTGCCAAGGTGCTTGACTGCTGTCGAGCTACCAGCTCCTCCCTTGACCCTTGCCCGGCCTGGCTAATCAAAGCAGCCAGGCCGAAAACAACAGAATGGGCCACAGCAATAATAAATGAGTCTTTCCTTGAGGGCAGGTTTCCATCTGCCCTCAAGGAGACACTCATTAGGCCCATTAGAAAGAAACTTAATATGGCGGCGGACGAGATTGGCAATTATAGGCCCGTCGCCAATGTTCCTTTCATGAGCAAAGTGGTCGAGAGGGTGG